GATGACGACGCCCACGACGACGACGACGCCGACGACGACGACGACGACGACGACGACGACGACGACCACGACGACGCCGACGACGACGACCACGACGACGCCGTCGACGACGACGACGTCGCCAACGAAGACGACGACGAAGAAAGAGGGAGGACGGCGACGCCGACGACGACAACGACGAGGGAGGAGGGACGACGACGAGACGCCGACGACGGACGACGACAACGACGACGACGAGGCAAGAGGAAGGACGACCACGGCGACAACGACCGGTGGCGGACACACAAAGGCGCTGTGGATAACAACGCATCGCGCGAGCTGCCGTTGGGCGACATGGCAGACGCGTCACCAGCACGGGCCGCGGCTACTCCTTGCCAATCAACTTGAGTGTCCAGCTCAACTCAGGTTCTGAAGGCTTCGAGCTGTCGCCCATGAGAGAAGAGTCGGTTGCATCGCGGGCAGGTTGGCTGCGTGTCGGTTGCCGGACCGGGGCGGCCAGGAACATCAGGAGGCGCAGCACATCACCGCCCTCATCGGCCACAGAGTTGTTGCTTGCGAAGTCAGAGGAAGAGTAGGAGCAGTGGACGAGCCCCCTGGAGCCCGACGGGACCTACACATCGGTTGCGATGGAGACACAGCTCTCGGAGGTGGACAGGCTGAAAGCCAAGGGCTACCTTGTCAAGCACGGCATGCGGGAGGGCGTTGTCGATACGTGCGGCGGGAAGCCAGTGTCGAAGCTGGCGCGCATTGCCACGATGAGGGACCGCGGCACATTGGATGTGGAATGCGCTGGACCTCGGTCGCACTGCCGGAGCGGGTTGCGCTGCCCCGGCTGCGTGACCTCGTCGAGGATGTGATATTTTAATGCGCCATGACAGGCCAGGAGACCAGAGTTTCAGAACGATTGCAAGCCTCAAAGACGTTTCCCTCAGGGTCTGCGTTGACCCAACCGAGTGGCGAGATTGGGTAGCACGGCATCACGCACGAGGTGTTGGCTACCCCGCCGTATTGCGCGGCGGGGTTGGTTGCCCGCTGCACTGGGGTTGGGCGACGGCCATCCTGGGAAGCAGAGCGACCAGGCCATGCTCGACGAGCTGGAGTTGCCCACGCAGACGCGCGTGGACGACCCAGCCAGCGGCACCATCCAAAGCGACGCTGGCGTCCGCGAAGAGGGCAGCGCCACTGTTGTCGCGGCGGCTGACGCTCGGCTTGCAGACCTCGTGGAAGAAAGGCGCATTCGGCAAGGTGTCCGCGAGGGTGGGGGCGCCGATCGACTTGCCGCCAGCTTCGCAGAGGCGGTCGCGAAGTCGGCGTCAGACATTTTGACGAGGAGGTCCACTCCGATCCAGGCGGCGCAGCGGCTTGCGGGAAAGGCCGGCCGGGCGACGGGGCCACGCCAGCGCCACGGTCAGCGGAGCCCCTGGGCCGCGCGCGCCGCCGCCCCCCCCCCCCCCAGACAGCTGGGCCAATGGCGAGCGCGGCCCACGCGGCGCGGTTGGCAGCGCTCTTCCGAAAGGCGGCGCCCTCACTGAGCGGCCCCCGGTGGCCGCCGAGATCAGGCCGCCCAGGGATTAACGCGCGCCGACGCTTCCCCTCGGGGGCGCGGGGGCGTCACCCTTGGGCGGCACGGCCGCGGCGCGCCTCTTCGACGTCTCCGGCCAGAGAACGCCAGGAGGTTCGGACTGAAGATGCGCGACCGCCGGGGGGCAAGCTGTCTGGGACACATTGGCACTGGTCTTATCTCCCTGGGTTCGGGAGCGCCGCCGGCTCGACCAGGATTCCGACGGTGGCCGACGCGGATTCGAAGGCGGCCCTGGGCGCATCCGACAAGGAAAGACAGGTCACCACAGATTAACGCCATCGCCAGGGAGAATTCCCTCGCTTTGGCGCTGTCCGCGTTCGAGCCATTGCAGCGCGTCGTGCATTTGCGCGGCAAGAGCAACGAGCGGGCCTGGGTGTCGAGGCTGGGCAAACACAGGCCGGGTCGCGGCAGTCCCGGGGCGGCCGCGCGCGCTGCGGCGGTATGTTGCGCCGCGGCGAGGGCCTGCCCGGGGGTGGGCTGCCTGCCGGACCAGGAGAGCCCGGCAGTCGATGAGCTGTTGGGGGCGAGTTGCGCCAGGGCGCGAGCCGACGGAGTCGCGCGCCTCAGGCCACGCGGCTTGGCCAGGTGACTGCACGCCCCGGCGCCATGACGCTGCAGCAGGATCGCCTGATCAAAGTAAAACACGTATCCGCCCGTGCCCGCCCAAGAATACAGGGTCACATGTCGCTCGGAATGAACGTCCACATCTCCCGACAAGGAGCAGCCCCAGGCGCGGACGCAGGCTGGCCAGCGCTAAATGCAAGGAGAAAGCGCTCGGTCATAATTTTGCCCCAATCCCTCGTGGAACACGCGTGTGGTCATGATAAGCAAGCGGTGCCATGAAGCCCCTGAGACTTCGGATTCGGTCGCCTTCGGAGGCGCGCTCTGAGGGGCGGCCCTGGCCAGCTGAGCACCGGCGGAGAGGCAGCCCCGCGGGCTCGAAGCGAGCCTTGGGCAGCGGCGACGCGCGCGTCGGCTGCCGCGCGGGCAGCACGCGGCGCCCAGGTGGCCCTGCGGGGCGCCACGCCCATTGCGGGGCGAGGGGCGCGGTACAGTCGGTTGCACAGGTGGCTCGGCGAGGGCGGCAGGCGCCCCCAGCGGCCCGATGAAGTCCGAGGGGCCCGCAAGCGTGCAGGCCAGGGCCGCGGGCAGTAGTGTGGAGGCACCTCTGCAGCCGGCGTCGGCGGGCCACGCGAGCGCGTCGCGAGAGTTGATTCGCTGAGAGACAGCGCAGGGCCGTCTGCGCGCAGATCCGCAGGTGATCGCAGCGCGGCGGGCGGGACGGGCCAGGACAAGCGCGCGGCGGCGGTCGAGATTCTGAGAACGGCGGAAGGGGCGAGCGGCGGCGGCCGAAGCCCTGGACGAGAGCACGCCGACGCAGTCTACGCGGCTTCGAAAGAGGTGCAGGCTATCACGCAATTGACGTTCGCGGCGGCCGCGAACGTCGAGTTGTTCGCCCTCTCTGCGCAAGAGCTCGGCCTGATTTTAAGCGCCGCGAGGCCCGTCTCAGGAGCGTGCAGCTCCTGCACCCCGTCACGGACCAGTTCAGGGCGATCTTCAAGGATGCGGCGCGCTCGGTCGCCCATAGGCGAGGGCCGTTTAAGCGGGTTTCCGCGGACAGGCTGGAGGAGGCGTCGGAGGCGGCCGATTGTCGCGGCTTTCTCCGAGCACACGCGAAAGAAGTTTGGAGCTCATGTTCCCCCGCGGCGCGGATTGGCGCCGCTGCGGGACAAACGGCAAGCACCTCGGCTGGCGGGGCTGGAGCACCGCAGAGATGCACGTTGGGAAGGCGCCCGCGGGGATTTGCGCTGGCTGGTCGCACAAAGACGTCGAAGGCTCGGCGACCAACGAGGCAGGAGGAGCGCGAAGAGATGCACCTGTCGGAGGCGGCGGCCCAGATCAGGGAGATGGCGCTTGTCAGGGACGCGCGCGAGTCCGAGGCCCGGGCGGGCGGCGGGGGAGGCTGGGCCGAGGCCTCGAGTGACAGGGAAGCCGAATTCACGGACTGGAGGAGGAGGTTTTCCTGAAGGGCACACCCCCCGCCATTGCAAGTATCTTCGCCAAGTTGCAGAGCTCCGAGACCCCAGCGTGCGCGGTCAACGTTAGGTCGTCGAAGGCGCACGCGGCATGCCTCGAGCTACTCGTGAAAAGCGAACGGAGCAAAGGAAGCTCTGTGTGCGCTTGGAGATTCCGGGAGGAGGACGTTTTCTTCCTGGTTGGCCCCGTGGGGGTTTTCTGCGGCACCCGTGCAGCATGCACGGCGGAGTTCGCGGGCATCAGTGGAGTCGACGAGAACAGCGTGGACGAGGATGAGTAGGTGGATCAGAGAGGGATGGGATGCTCAGGTTTCCAGGCCGGCACCTGCATTCTAGGACGGCGGAGCTGGGCAGCACGGGGAGCGGCGGGGCCCACACCAGCCCAGCCGCAGGAGTGGGGTCGGGAAAAGGGGGCCAGGCTCGGGGCGGGTCGGTCGCTTGGTGGTTCATGCGGTCGCGGGCTGGGCTATGCGGGAAGATGGGCCGACGACGTCGGGCACCTCGTGCCGCCCAGCCGAAGTACGGCGCCACTAGGCCCCGAGGCGGTCAACGCAGCATGGCGCATCGTCGACCATGCCGACGGCGATGATGGAGCCGACCTGCCCCAGCAGCACGACGCATTGGAGCGCGTGATTGTGCCGCCAGGGATTCCACGTTCCGACTTGGAGGTCGAGCTGAGTTCTGCGACCCAGGCGTCAGTGCCAAGAGTGATTGGGACCATGGTGAGGCTTGCGCACAACAGTGCGACCATGGCGCGTTCACTGCAGTTAGTAAGGGGTAGCCGTTGGAGTTGCCACCCACCACCGTGGCTGGGTGAGCTGGACATTCAGTTGGCAGCAGCGGGCGCCATCTTGTCAAGACCGCGAACGTGATCATCGAGAACGAGCCGAGTCACGGCGCCGATGAGCTTAGCGAATACAGGTGTGCTTACGAGTATGAAGTCGTCAGGGGCGTGGCCGCGGCCGCCGACATGGCGCCCCGCGAGCACCTCGCGAAGATGGTCGTGGACCTCCGCTTGTGCTTGGCGGCAGGCGTCGGTGTGGGGGGGGGGGGGACGTTGCGGGCGTCCACGTAGGGGGGCGGAAAGATGGGATTTGCTTGCGCCACCAGCACATGGCAAGCCAGAACGAAAAAGGTAATCCTCTTCCTCCTGCCCCTCCTCTTCATCCTCCCCCTCCCTCTACATCCTCCTCCTCCTCCTCCTCCTCCTCCTCCTCCCCCTCCTTCTCCTGCTCCTCCTCCTCCTCCTCCTCCTCTTCTTCCTTTTCCTCTTGCTCTAGTTATTCCTCTTTCTCTTCCTCTTCCTCTTCCTCCTCCTTCCTGCTCCTCTTCTCCTGTCTTCTTCTCCATTATCATTATTCGTTCTGTTTGGCCCGCAACAGGTTCGCGAGCACCCTCGAGCCGGCGAAGGCGGGGTGGGACGAAGACGCATCAAGATTGTGGTGGTACCATTCGCACAGAAGGTCAATTTTTTTAGGCGTGTCTACTGTGTTGCTAGAGTTTGCTGTTCGCAGTGCATCCCGGCGTGCACATCGACATATATATATATATATATACATAGATACATATACATACAAATATATAACAAATACGCCGGGCCCCCTCCCGGGGCGTCCTCTACCTCGCTCACATCTTGATTACGTTTCTGGTACCGCGCTTCCCGGCCTCCCAGGGAGCTCCCAAAATGCCAAAACACAGCCCAAGACGACCCCAAGAAGCCCCCAGAACGTAAGCGAAAGGCCCAAGACGCTCCCAAGATACCCAGGATGGCTTTCGGGCGGCTCTCCAGGCTCCCAGGAGGCCTCCAAGAGACCTCAAGAGAGCTCCGAGAGGCCTCCCGAGAGCGCCCGGAGAACCTAAAATCGTTAATTGTCATTGTGTTTGTTCAGGGTTTTTGACCTTCTCACCATTTCAAACTTCCAACGCTCCAAGACGGCCGAAGAGGCCCCCAAGACCGCCCCAAGACGGCCCAAGAGGCCCCCAAGACGGGCCAAGACGGCCCCAAGATTGCCGAAGAGTCGCCCAGGACAGCTCCAGACCACCCCAGAACAAACCCAAAATGAGCCCAAGAGCGGGAGCAGGAGGCCTCCAGAGACCTCCGAGAGGACTCTGGAACCGCCAGAGGTCTCCAACGCACCCCATACCCCTGAGAGGCTCCCAAAAAAATCCCCGACGAGGCCCCCAAAACAGCGCAAGAGAGCTTCGAGAGCCGTCCCGAGAGAGCCCGAAGAGCGTAAAATCGTTGATTTCCAGTGGTTTGTGTCGACGTTTTTCGCCTGCTCACGTTTTCCCACTTCTAACGCTCCAAGACCGAGGAATTTGAGCAAACAAAATAACGGAATTCCAGAGATTCCCTTTTTTCAAATTCAACAAGTACGCCCCCCCTTCTCCCGTGGGTCCCACACCTTCCTGGAACATCTGCGGAACGCTTCTGGTACCGCGCTTCCCGACCTCTCGGGGAGCCCCCAGAACGCACAAGGACAGCCCAAGACGACCCGAAGAAGCCCCCAGAACGTAAAAGAACGTCCCAAGACGCTCCCAAGCAACCCAGGATAGCTTTCGGGCGGCTCTCCAGGCTCCCAGGAGGCCTCCAAGAAACCTCAAGAGAGCTCCGAGAGGCCTCCCGAGAGCGCCCGGGGAAGCTAAAATCGTTCATTTACATATTTATTTATATATTATATATATATATATATATATATATATATATATATATATATATATATATATATATATATATATATACCCACACATATCTGGTGTTTTGGCCTTCTCACCATTTCAAGCTTCCAATGCTCCAAGACGGCCGAAGAGGCCCCCAAGACCGCCCCAAGACCGCCCAAGTGATGAGGCGCCCAGGAAAGCTCCAGACCACCCCAGAACAAGCCCAAAATGAGCCCAAGAGCGGGAGCAGAAGGTCTCCAGAGACCTCCGAGAGGACTCCGGGACCCCCAGAGGCCTCCAACACACCCCATACCCCTGAGAGGCTCCAAAAAAGCCCCGACGAGGCCCCCAAAACAGCCCAAGAGAGCTTCGAGAGCCGTCCCGAGAGAGCCCGAAGAGCGTAAAATCGTTGATTTCCAGTGGTTTGTGTCGACGCTTTCGCCTGCTCATGTTTTCCCGCTTCTAACGCTCCAAGACCGAGGAATTTGAACAAACAAAATCACGGAATTCCAGAGATTCCCTTTTTTACAAATTCAATTAGTACGCCCCCCCTTCTCCCGGGGGTCCCACACCTTCCCGGAACATCTGCGGAACGCTTTTGGTACCGCGCTTTCCGACCTCCACGGGAGCCCCCACAACGCACAAGGACAGCCCAAGACGACCCCAAGAAGCCCCAGAACGTAAAAGAACAGCCCAACCAAGACGTTCCCAAGCAACCCAGGATAGCTTTCGGGCGGCTCTCCAGGCTCCCAGGAGGCCTCCAAGAAACCTCAAGAGAGCTCCGAGAGGCCTCCCGAGAGCGCACAGGGAAGCTAATATCGTTCATTTACATGTTTGTTCCAGAATGTTTGGCCTTCTCACCATTTCATGCTTCGAAGAGGCCCCCAAGACCGCCCCAAGGCCGCCCAAGAGGCCTCCAAGACAGCCCCAAGACGGGCCAAGACGGCCCCAAGATTGCCGAAGAGGCGCCCAGGACAGCTCCAGAACAGGCCCAAGACGAGCCCAAGACGAGCCCAAGAGCGGGAGCAGGAGGCTTCCAGAGACCGAGAGGATTCCGGGACCCCCCAGAGGCCTCCAACACACCCCAGACCCCCGAGAGGCTCCACAAAAATCCCCGACGAGGCCCCCAAAACAGCCCAAGAGAGTTTCGAGAGCCGTCCCAATAGAGAGCCCGAAGAGGGTAGAATCGTTGATTTCCATTGGTTTTTGTCTACGTTTTTCGCCTTCTCATGTTTTCCCGCTTCCAACGCTCCAAGACCAAGGACTTGTTTGGCTAAAGGGAATTCCAGGGATTCCCTTTTCTTGTCAAGTTGGGAGTCCTACTCCCTATTCTCTTCCTCGAGCCCCATCAAGACTTCGGGGTCACATGCAAAAATGTTTCGGGAATGCTGTTGAACTCTTCTGACGCTGTCTTGGCACTCTCTTGGATCATCTTCGTGTCCTCTTGGCTGCCCCTGAAACCACTGTAGAAACCTGAATCATTTTGAAACCCACCCGATCCATCGCGGCTCTTGTTGGGCCCTCTTTGGTGGTATGATAAGCCTCTTGGGGTCACGTTTGAACAATCTCGGGCTATTGGGGCTCTCATGGGGTCGTCCCGGAACTACTTCTTGCAGCTGATCTGTTGTGCCCATTGTGGGAGCGTCTAGGGTTCCGTGAAAGCCTGCCTGGCCCGTGTTGGGTTCCTTCGGAAGGCCTCCTGTGGCCTGCGCCCACTTTGGCCCCTTCTGGGCTGGGCTCTCTCCTAGGGCTCTCGGGAGTGCTCGTCCCTTCTCAGGCTGCATTGTGCCTCTATTGGGCTCTTACCTTGGGGACCTCTTGGGCTGTCTTGGAGCGCTGGGAGCCTGAGAAGGCGGGAGCGCTGAAGTCCTTGCGAGAACGAACAGGAATCTATTAGTTTTGCTACTCCTCCTCCTCCTCCTCCTCCTCCTCCTCCTCCTCCTCCTCCTCCTCCGTTCCATGGAAAAAAAAAGGAATCTATTAGTTTTGCTCGGGGGGGGGGTTCTCGGGGGCCTCTCCGGGGACGTCCCGGGGGGGGCCCGGCCGTTCGGGGGCCTCTGGGGGTGGCTTGGGGGGATGCCTCGGGGGGCGTCTTGGGGGGGGCGGGGTTCGGGGTTCTCTTCACCCCCCCCTCCCGCTCCCCCCCCCTCTTAATCTTCCCCCTCTTCCCTCCTCCCCCCCCCCTCCTCTCCCCATTCCACTTCGGGGAGGCCCTCCCCCCTCACTCCTCTCCCCTTTCCCCCCCTCAGTTCCCTTCCTCCCCCTCCCCCGCTGCGGAGCGAAGCTTGAGCGATCTCGCAAGAAGGGAGAGGGGGCAAGCTTCGCTATGCAGCACCCCCCAGAAGTATCCGTTCGGGGCTCGGGTCTCCCCTCGGAGCTCCGTCTTGAGGTCGGTCGGGGGCCGCGTCCTGGCGGTTCTTGGGCCGTCTTGGCGCGCCCTCTTGGGCCGTCTATTGGGGCCCTCTTGAGAGCCTCGTGGGCCGCCTTGGGGCGATAACGTGGGCTTCTTGGGCTGTCGTGGAACATCGAAAGCCCGAAATGGCCAGCGTCAAAGATCGGCAAGACCTTATTGTGAAGCTATGGTGTTGGCCTCTTGGGGTCGTCTTGGCGGTCCTCTTGGAGCCCTGTTGGGCAGTTTTTGAAGCCTCTCGGGCCGCCTTGAGGCCTTCTGGGGCATCTTGGAGCGCCCTTGGGCTGTCCTGGAGTCATCTTGGAGCCTCTTAAAACCGTTTACGCCTCATCCGAACGCTCCGGTTGATGGTATCAGGATCGATCCTGATCTCCCGTCTAATTGCCTTGAGAGTTCCCGCCCATCCCACCGTCCAGGCCCATGGGATGGTCGGGATCGTTCACTTGTCTAGTCACGGCGGGGTCGTCACCAGCCCCTCGATCGACTTCACCGCCGCAGCCTGGCGGCGCAAGCCGTGGGAAGCCTGCGTCTTTGGCGGCGGTGCTGCCAGGGCCGCCTGCGAGTCTTGCGCCTCGTCGCGGGGCCATCGGGCGGCCCCCTTGACGATCGCCTGGATCGCCTGGGATGCCACTGATCGCGGCAATCACTGGTGGAGAGCCGCCGGCCTTTGAAGGGACGAGCGGATCACTGAGATTGCCAGGATCGCCGCCGCCGGCGCCGCCTCTTGGAGGGGCCAGCGCGGGGTCGCGATGGACGAGCCGAGAGCCAGGTGCGCCACGGAATGTGGCAACCACTCGTGGCAAGCCGCCATGCCGTGGAAGGGGACGGCGAGAGGATGGGAAGAGGAGGATAAGTGGTGGAACTGTCCGAACGAGTGAGCACTCTGCCAGCGGGACACGCGAGAGTTGCCACCGCCCGCAAGGTCACAATACATGCCCGCCTCCAGGAGTGTCGCAACCTCAGCCCACCGCTGGTTCATATGCTCATGATGCACGCCCCCCTTCGGGGTGATGGGCATCGCCCCTGCACAAATCGAGCAACACGTGATACCCGACGAAGGCACTGGAGGGGAGAAGTCGTTTTCCAGGGGTGCGAGGGCAAGACACATACTCACCTTCAGGAGTGCCACGGTCTCTGCCGAAAGGTCGGTTGACGTCGCTCCAGCATCAACAGGGCCACACGTAATACCCAGCGACGTCCTCAAAGAGGAAGCGCCCTCCAAGAGCGTGTGAACCGTGCCAGCGGGACGCGAACTGCGCAGGGTGCACGAGCTGCATAGGCGACAAGCTGGCGACGCAGGCTGTCTCTGAATTGCCTCCGCCCGAGACGTCCCAACACATGCCCACGTTCACCCTGTCGCCGACGACCTCTTGCGCCTCCGTCTCCTCTACTTCGTCCTCGTCCAGCTCGTCGTCCACCGCGTCGTCGTTGCCGACTCCCTCCTCGACCTCCGCCTAGGCCTCGTCGTCCTCCTCCACCCCTGCCTCCGTGCTCGCGTCGCCGACGACCTCCCGCACCTCCTCCGCCTCCGCGTCGACGACCGCCTCCTGCACCCCCTCCTTGTCGACGTCCTCCTCATCGACCTCGGCCGTCACGAGCTCCGCCTCCTCGTCGACCTCCGCCTTGCTCCTCGTCTCCTAGGAGGACGTCCTGGGGAAGGGCATCGTGGCGAGGCGAATGATCGCGGTCTCCGCTGCAGGCTGCATCTACTGGTCCGCAGGCTCGTTGGACGATGGGACCTGGGGGCCAGAGAAGGTGGCCGCGGCGGCGATGCAGCAAGTCTTGGAGCAGCTCGCAGAACACGACAGAGGCCACAATCTACGCCCAGCCCCTCGCAGGAACCTTGGAGATCACGCCATGCCCTGCCTAGAGGCCCACTCCAGGCCAGTCGTCGAAGACAAGCAACCGCGCAACTTGCCGGAGATATCGGGCATGATGCGGCCCATGGTGGCCAGCGTGCTCAGGCAGCCGTTCCGCAGTCGGCCTGGCGTCTCGGGTCGAAGGCATCCGCGCGACCATCCACCGCGAGCCCAGCGGGGTCCCAAAGGCCCACCAGCCAGGCGCTGCACGACAAGCTCCCTGCCGAAGATGCCGCGGGGATCCCGCGAAGAGCGCCCAGTCCCCAGTAGGAGCCTGCCAGGCCGCCCTGGAAGAACATGCCGACGATGGCCGTCAGGGCAAGGCGACCGTTCGCGATCTCAGCCGCCGACCTCTCCTGCTTCTCCGCGGGGCCCCTGGACGAAAGCACAGCGTAGCCGAGGTCACCGGCCGCGGCAGCGGCGCCAGCGAGCTGGTCCTGGAACAGCTTGAGGAAAATGCCGTAGGCCACGATCGCCTCCCAGCCCGCCGCGGGAGCTTCGGAGATGGTGCGAGTCCGTCCGGGATGTCCGCGAAGTTCAGGCCAGCCAGAGGCGGCAGGTGGCTGGGCAGCTTGCCTGACATGGATCTCGAGGCGGATGGATCCCACGGTCGCCAGCATGTTCGCGCGGCCGCGCTCCAGCTCTGCCCAGCGTCTCCTGGCGAAGTTCCCCGTGCTGCCATGCACCGTGAGCCCGGCAAGGTCCCAGAGGGCCCACCGGGGTCAGGAGCTCCGAGCTCGCCGCCGTCGTCGCGCAGCGGGGATCCCGCGCAGAGCGCCCAAATCGCCGTCGTGAATGGGCATGCCGGCGGGGGCCATCGTGGCGAGCCAGCGGGCTTTTCTTGTCTAGACTGGCCCGTCGGCCTCAATCTGCGCCCAGTTTTCCGCGCGAACCTCCGAAGTCGCGACGAGCTCGATCGGGACGTCGCGGCATCTCCAGCCTGATGTTCTCTTGGGCTCACGACGAGTACATGTACCAGATGCGAAAGTTCAACGGATGCACCTTTCCAGAGGAGGGCCTCAACATGATCTGGCTCCACTCGTGCTACCCGTGGCACGACAAACGTACGAACACATACATACACACACATTCTGAGGTCGAGAAGGACAGAGACCCTTTGATGCTATCCCTAACGTCAAGGTGCCGAAGCCCTATTACGAGTCTCTGTTCGCGACGTACGGCATCAGTCGCAAGTTCCGCTGGTGAGGACTTAGGAGGAGGAGGAGGAGGAGGAGGAGGAGGCGACCTTGCGGGCCGCAAGTGGCGGCTGGCGCTCCCGTCGATCAGTTCGGAGGGGTGCGCCGAGCCTCTGCCGCCCCAGGCAAGCGGTATGACCTGCTGGACTCACCGGCGGACTGCGGGGCTAGTGCACGAAGCGATCTGGTGGCACGCACAGGGCCGAAGCCTTACGGGAGAAAGGTCCGCCCGAGCAGAGCTCACGGGCGTCTGGGCGGCCCCCTTCGCGGGTTTCGCCTCCCCGCGGTCGCACTGATCGGGCTTGGGGGGGGAGCCAGGACTGGTGCGAGGCAGCTCGGGGATTTCAACACCAAGGGCCTACTGTGCTAGTCAGATGCCCAGGCCACGGAGTAGGTATACTTGCGTGGCCACCGTGACATGTACACTTGAATGCTAGAACATTCAATGTTGTACCTAGGAGCGATCGGCATCTCGCGCACGATTGTGCGTGTCAGGATCGACCATATTCCCACAGTTCGTTCGTACGCCCAGAACGCACTACGTTTGCTATGTGAAGCTGCGTTCGTTTGCCCGAGGTCTCCGTGCACCTAAAGAGGTTCCAAGTTGGCGAATGCACAGCTCGGAGTGGCCCACGGATATACACAAAAGGTTGATTCGCCTGAGGTATTGACATGGTTATTCGACGCAGTGGCCGCCAAACCTTGCCTCTACATAACAGGCCCCGCGTCTGACGCAGCTCGCAAAGAATTTCCCCTTAGCGGGCCAGACCTTAGGGGCAACCCTGATTCTGTCGAGGCGACGTGGACTTTATGCTCGTCCCAAGGGTGGCTTCTTCGCTGAAGGACCGTGCCTCTAGCGGGGTGCCCTCTTCAGTGGCGCGACGTTCTGAGGCCCGGACTTCTACTGTGCACCGCGAGAGCTGCCCAGGGAAACCCCCGCCCCTGTCCAGCCCAGAGCACTGCCGTCCGGTGGAAGCGCATGCCCGGCGCGCGCGAGCAGCAGCCAAAGTTGGAAGCGAGACACGCGAGCGGAAGATAAAAATCAGGAGGAAAAGAAACACACAGACACAATTAATCCTCGATTTCCCGGAAAATATGGGAAAATATGGGAACTGGGGGGGAAGACAGAAACCCAGAAAATATGGGAAAATATGGGGAATATTTTTATTTGTGTGTATTTATTTGTGTGTTCCAGTTCCCCTTCAAAAAACGCGCACTGAATGACGAACGCCTCGGGGAAGGCAGCATGTCGCTGCTGCTATCGCGCGCTGCCCACGGCCAGTTCCCCGAGCCCGAGGGCCCGCCCATGCTCTTCTCGGGCGCCGGACCCCCCCGCGGGGCGGGGGGGGGGCAGGGCGACGGGCCCCGGCGCCCCGCCCAGAGGCGACCGGTTGAGTCAGCACGAGGGGGCGGGCTGGGGGGGAGGTTGCACTGTCAAGTCGTTACTGTGTAGCTCTCCTCGCACACCGGGTGGCGGGAGGGGGGGGGGAGAGGCGGGCGGAGGGGAGGTTGCACTGTCAAGTCGTTACTGTGTAGCTCTCCTCGCACACCGGGGGGCGGGAGGGGGGAGGGAGAGGCGGGCGGAGGGGAGGTTGCACTGTCAAGTCGTTACTGTGTAGCTCTCCTCGCACACCGGGGGGCCTCGATCTTGACATTTGCTGGCGCCGCAGGAAAGATCTGTTCCACGGCAGACCGCCCGGGGCTCTGGCCAGGGGCAGCTCCCCATCGAGTGTGGAGATATCGGCGGGAACAGATTACAAGACACAAATTTGCGGGGTCAGTTGTTGGTGAAGGTGTAGATATGCCATGCAATGAGGTACAAAGTAATGAGGTCCCATGCATTTCAAGTGGTAGTACAGCATAGCAGACAATGGCATGGCAACATCGTGCAACAATGACTAGCACAGCATACATTAAATAGCGTAGCGTAGCGTTGCATACCATAATATCGCGCATAGCACGGCACGGCACAGCAGCAAATGGCATGACGCCGCGTAGCATACTGTAGTTTATCATATCATTGCGTAGCTTTGCAGCCCATAGCTTAGCATCGTATAAAACTTGTGTACGAAAGCAGCGCACAAGTCACGAGGAAGCGGTCTGACCTGTCGACTGGACAGCGTTTCTTTCAGAACTAAAGATAAGTTTGAGGCTACCCAGATTGGGGAATGATGCAGCAAGGTATGATGAAGCCATCCACCAGCAAAATTGTGTTTGATGCCCAGGTGGTTGAATTCGTGAGCGAGCTGTTCGGTCGGTTCGACAAGCTGACTGACACATTCGAGTTGTACAAGGTCGCTTGGCATTTACAGCATCCCGTCTTTCTCCCTAAAAGGTGCAGTCGGCGGATTGGCAGTAGCCATCCAATCAGATTTGTTGGTACTGTTTGGCTTGACGATCAGAGTTGTGACAGGGGTAGGTAGGAAGGATCATCTCTAGAGTACCTACGTCGTTTGAAGATCATGTGGAGGGAGACCATTTTCGCTGCAGCCACTAGCGTTGCTTTCAGAATGAGGGTCCTTGCGGCGCACACGGTGCGAAGCGCGCGCGCGCGCACATGCACGGGACGCTTTCAGCGGGCGCGCCCGAAAAGTACACACCCATCGTGTCACGACAATGCATGTGCACATCCGTGGTTTCAAGTTGAGATTGCCAAGAAGCGTCATCGTCTCTTACGAAGTCCAATGTTGTGTGAGCGCGTTTGGCCTCTCCACGCAGGCTCAGATTCCACGCAACATGCACAGAGAAATGAGGGGATGGAGGCTGAGGAGGAGAATGACAAGAAGGAGAGGGTGGGGCGCGGAGGGGACGGGGATGAGAGGGGGGAAGAGCTGTGCGGGTCGGCAGGTGAGAAGAGGAGGACGAGGAGAGTAAATCGAGGGCGGGAGCGTGGAGAACGAAGAGGAAGGGACGGGACGGAACGGGAGGGTCGCCACGTTTCCAGATTTGATGTTAGGGAGAAGAGGGATTATTTGGTCACTAGCGGAGCGGATCTCGATATGAGATTTGAAACAGTCGTTTGCTTTGATTTGTGTTTCCACGCCCGCCCATTTGGATTCATATTTTTTGCGCGCTTGCATACCTCATCACCCTTTAATTTAAATCGAGAGGTCGAGACTGTCGGGGACGCATACATCGCTGGCCAGGGAGGCCCTCCGCTCACGAGAAAGAACTCTCCGGTGGCGGTCGTACTCTTCGCCATGCAGATGGTTCAGGATGCTGGGTGGCGGCAGCGGGTACGATGGCGTTCGGGTTGGACGGACGGGGAAAGATTTTAAAGGGGGCAAGCTCCGGTCAGGAACCTTGGCTCAGCGTGTCGCGCCGCCGGTTTTGACCCACCACGCTTCGGCGCGACACGCTATCCGTGTCCTGGCCCCCAAGCTCGCAGGCCTAGAGGTTGCCACCAACACCAAGATCGGGGGTGTGCCTCCAGCGAGGGAAGAAGATCCCGATCTCGGTGATGGTGGTAATATATTCTGGCTTCCAAGGTCACCGAAGTATTGCCACCAACACCGAAATCTAGGGTCCCCTTCCCCCTGTGGAGGCAACCCCTTGTGTTGGTGTTGGTGCCAATTTGTAGGCCTCCAACAAGCGTCAGCGTCCCAAGCGTATCCCGAGCTGCCCGCCCCGCAGAGCGAAGCAGCAGGCGGTCCACTTGCAGGGCATAATTAGCGTGCCGCAGGGGCCGCCGCCGCGACGCGCGGCGCAAGAGTTCCCGACTTGGGGCGTGCACGCCGCGTCCGACATCTTGTGCCTCCCACCCATCATTTAGCGCTGCTCTGAGCTCTCTTGTCTCCGCCGATGGGGTTGCCCTCGAGGGCCTCGATCTCCGAACTGAGCCCATCGTGTGATAGGCGCAAGCAGAAGGGGGGAGGTGGCGGTGAAAAAGCGGGAGGAAGAGGAGGAGGATGAGGATGGAGGAGCAGCAGCAGTAGGATCAGGTGTGGGCCCCTTACAGCAGGTAATTGCACTCTCGATGCGCAATCGATGTGGTGCAAAAGTACGTCGTGCAGGAAATGTGGTGCAATATATATATATATATATATATATATATGTGGTGCCGCTTATGTAGTGCAAGCTATGTGGTTCAACCAATGTGTTGCAATATACGTGGTGTCAGCACGTGGCGAAATCTATGTGGCGCAAGTTCTGTGGTGTAAGATGTGGGGTGCGACCTATGCGGTGCAAGCTATGCGGCGCAATGCATGTTGAAAGAAATGTGGTGCGACCTACGCGGCGCAACCTATATGGTGCAAGCTATGTGGTCGGCGGCACGAAGTGCCCACGAGACGCCGGCTGGCGGACACGAGGCGCCCACGACCGGCCACCAACAAGACACCTGGCGCAACGCGGAGGAGGAGGAGGAGGAGGAGGAGGAGGAGGAGGAGGGACCAGTCGCCAAGCAGGCACCAGGCGATACTTCGACACGCCCATCCAGCGCACGGTGCGCCCACGAGGTGCCCGCGACCAGCCACCAGCCCGGCACAAGGCAAGACCCCGATGCGGCCATCCAAGCATGTAAGACCGAAAGTAAGGACCCCTGGAAACGGCGCCAAACAAACACAGCATCATGGGAGAGAGGAGAGTAGCATTCACATGGAGTAAGCTTTGAGCTGGGAGAAGAGAGGCAGGGGTAAAGGGGAAGGGAGGAGAGAGAGGAGGGGGAGACAAAGAAGGGGAGGAGCAGGGAGCGGAGGGACAAGGGGGGAGGATGGAGGGTGGCGGAGAAATTCGGGAACAGGCGTTACATGAAAGCGTGTAGTCTTGACAGCATTCGTCGTCGCACGATTGAGGTAATCGCTGCCAATCGGCGATCAACTAGCAGGCGAGTTGTACACAGATGCGCGTTGACGATGGTTATGCCACCGTCACCTTTCTCCATCACAGGGTGCTGCGCAGTACCCCGGACAGCCTGAACGCTTCGGGTCGGAAGTGAGTTTCGCTGCACGTGCGCTGGAACGCCTCGATTTTCAACTCGAACCGATATCGGGGCCTCATACTAAGGATTAAGTTGGTGGGCTCCAGAACTCCCAAGGCTATCTTACGACAGCGGCAAAGCAGCATCATGCCAAACAAATCACCGTAGGGAATCTCGTCACATTATGGCCCTGGCGGGAAGCCACAGCACCCATGGGAGAGTCTTGGCGTCCAGAGCGCTCGTGGCTGGTTATCCTATCTGGTCGCAAAGCGCCGACTCCCAGGCCAAATCCAGCTTTCATTGGGCAGTTCATTTCGGGTGAGGCACGTCGTGCCGCTTAGCGATATTCCCAAAGGCCCTGCGGCGCGCTCTTTTGTGGTGTATGTGGCGTCGCGTTACGATGCTCTAGATATCCCAGTTTGCGCGGCGGGCCCTCACACGTGAAAACCATACTTATCGAGGATGCCGGCGGCGCATCACCTGCCGCTCCTGGGAGTTTGGCGAAGTGGCGCGCAGCATCTAGAGTAGAGGTTGTTCAGAAGTCTCATGGAGGCGATTTGGGAGATGTCTTGGAATCTCTTCGAAGCCTCCCCTGGATCTGATTTGGGCCTGTTGGGGGCCTCCAGGGGCTTCTGGGGGCCCCTTTGTGGCATGGCTGCCTCGGGTGTCACCTCGGGGCGGAGAGAGCGAAATATCTCTTCGAGTTCCCCCTTGGGGGGCCCTCTTGGGGCCGTCTTAGGCCGTTGTGGGGGCACCTTGGGCCGTCTGGGGCCCCATCTTGGGACGTCTGAGGTCTGTTTTGGGGGGCTTCTTGGGCTGTCTTGAGGCGATCTTGGAGGCCGTCTTGGAGCGTCGAAAGCTCGACAGGGCGAGAACGCTGACATTCGCAAAAACCACGGGAAGATCAGTCGTTTGTTGTTCTGGGGGCTTTCGTGCGAATCGTTTCGAAAGGCCAGTGGACGTCAGGAGGGCTTCTGAGGCTGGTCTGGGGCCATCGTGGGCCGTTTTGGGACGATCTGCGACAATCTGGAGGCTTTCTTGGACCGAATCAGGCGCCTTTGGGGGCGCCCGTGGGCCGTCTTAACCCTGTCAGGTCGTTTTGCGGCCATTTTGGGCCCTGGAATTCGCGAGGGGCCGCCGGCTGAGGGAGATGTTGACCAGGCCCGCGCAAATCCTGCCAAGCACTTTGACAGAGTGGCCCCGCACGGCCCAACGACAGGGGGCCGAAAAGCGAACACACATTTTAAACGAGGTCCAAAGGTGAGGCTGTATAGCGAATGCGATATTTGAAGCTGTCTTGGCTCAAGGCAGCGCTGTGCTAGATGCTAGGTGCACAGACCTGTGTGCCTCTATTTGCTGACAAAGTAACGGACAAAGGCCACGTCCTTCTATGATCCATCGGTTTTCTCTTACCTCTCGTTTTGCTTGCCATCAAAGGATGAGTTGTGGGATACTTCGGTACGTCGCCGACGCTATCGTAATAGTGGGGTTCTCCGCTAATTACCTCATGGTCAAGCCCTGCACCCTTACTTTTCACTTGGTAGCAGAGCTAGATACACCTTCATGTGGCCAGCCCCTACAGCAGGTGTTATGTACATAGCAATTTACCACGGCGCAGTGGAGCACCCGACAGCGCCGACGCCCAGCCACTACACCCCCAATACTCTCGAACCAATTGGTAACCTACACTCCTATACGTCCATCTCCCCACCGCGTGGCCACACGCCACGCACGACCCAAACACCGATACCGATCCGCAAGTTGACGGCCACGTCAGACCAGACACCCAGTCGCAACTTTACGGACGCTATAATATCCAATGATAAGTTACCTAACATCATCAGCTACCACATGACCATGCACTATGTTAAGGTCGCTATAATTGGAACGATATGGGTGTGTCTAGGCCTTGCCGTGGCATACATGCGAGGAGGAAAGCTGGATGAAACACGCACTCGGGGTCCCTTCTGGGACCCCAAAGGATGACATGCAACACCTGCGGGGGCGACAGACACTTCCAAGCGCAATGTCCCAAAAGAGGTGGACAGGGGGACTGATCCGTACTTTCTGGGTCAGATCAGTCCGAAACTTATATCATCGAATACGCTGAATTCCCCGAACTAGACCACCCCCGTTACTCTGAAACCAGTTCGTCTTGGTTTTTGATGGCCCACTTCGCCAACGCTGCCATGTCGGCACAGCGGTACACCGAGTACCTCTACGACGGGATCGAGGAGCTCTACGACACCCCCACCGAAGACTGGGTCGGCACGCGCCGGCACGGACACGCGCGGGAAGATTCCGACGACGGCGACGAAGACGGCTGCATGTCCGACGCGGAGACCATGCCCGCCACCGACGCTGAAATAACGGAACAGCTGGGACACGAGCGGACACGTCTCCACCCGCTCCCAGCCCCGACTGAGTTCGGACTCACGGAGGAGGAGCGGGCTGCTGTGCGATGGGGACAGCCCCACGCCAAAATACTTATGATGCGGGGTATGTGTGGGAAAGACCCAGTCGGCTCGGGCGGCCCCTACATGGGCGACGAAGGGAGCAGTCGCCGCGGCCGCAGCTCAGCGGCCCAACGCACAGCAGGCGCACCAGGTAAAGCTGGAAAATGCAGCCCGGACACGGGCGGCCCTCGCCGCGGCCGCAGTCTCTCTCGAAGTGCCGGCCACTCTAAGGCTACGACGAGTCATCCGAGCCCATGTACGGCGCGAGCTCCGGCGATACAGGCTGGGGAAAGGGGCATGCCTCCACTGGCAAGGGGTCCCATTTTCTCGCGCGATGGCCAGGGCCCTCGCGCGGAGATCGACGAACGCGGCATGAACTGCTTCCTCGAGCACTGCTACGCAGAGGCACAGATACGACATTGGTGGTTTCGAAAGGATTGTGTTATCCGTGACGACAGGGGCTACACCATCAAAACGTCAGAACTCCGCCGCAGGGAAAGTGGCGAAGGGCGGGCATATATGCGAGATGCGATTCAGAAACGCAGGGAATACCGCACATGCCCTTGCCCAGCTCACAGCCAGCACCGCGGCAACTGTCCGCGCGACCGCCCATCTCGCAGCCCCCGTCATGGCGCGACGCCTTGAAGCCCCGATCACGGCGATGGCACAGGCGGAAGGGCGGCCACGCCCATTCATTCTCATATCCCATTGACCGATACGAGACCTCAAGGAGTAGAAGAAAAATTCTGAGACTTGGGCGACGCACACCTCCGCGAGACCTACAACGCGGACTGGCGGTTCAGACATCCGGGGGATTATCCCGCTGACAGCGGCGACGACA